TTTTTTTTTAATTTACTTATGTTTTGTTTGTTTTTAGTTGTCCCGATTCTGATATAAAATGTTATTCATGTGGTTTAATGGGACATATGGCACGTGATTGTTCAAATAATCGTATATTTTCTTCTTCATCATCAATTCAACCACGTCAAATGAATGTTTCACAACAATCATATAATATCAACATGCCATTAATTAATTAGATAATGATAATTATTGAAGTTTGTTTTTCCTTAGACCTTCAATTATTGGTTTTTTGTTTGTTTGTTGGTTGATTGATTTTCTTTCTTCTTTTTTTTTTTATATTTGTTGATTATTGTCATTCAATATGTGACAAGAACAAGAAACAGAGAACAAAGAATATGAAAAATATATATACGATAAAAGGATTTACTATTTTGTATTTTTTTTAAATTTCTTTTGTTCTTCTGTTTGGTTGTTTCTTTTTTTTTTTTTTTTTTAATATTTTTTTATTAACTACACAGATAATACGATAGATATAATGAATAATTTTTGTACAATAACACGTTATTATGGTAGTAATGAAAAAGATCTTGAACAACTTTGGCGTTTTATTAAACAAGCAGAAACATATTCTAATCGAATATTAATTGGTATAAATATTGAAAAAGATTTAACTGATTGTATTAAAAAATATTCTCAACAACAAATATTATCAAATATATTAGTAGATTTTATACCAATTCAACCATGGATTGGAATATCTACACCATTAAATATTCTTTTAAATCATATTTCATTAAATGAAACATTTGTTCTAATTCAATCAGTTGAAATTCAATGTACATCATATCATATTGATCGTTTACGATCATATTTTAAAGATAATGATATACTTTGTGTTGGTGTTGCACTTGATGGTCATCAAATATTAGATAAACAATCGAATAAAAAATATCTTCCTTTACAAGGTGATACAAGTCCTTGGAATACGTTTACTTTATGGAATTTAGAAAAATTACGTCGAACAGGTTTTCCAATATGTTCAGATTTTGTTAATCCATCAGGTATGGAAGATTGTGCTGTTATTGCTTTACAACAAAAATTATTTGGTGGTATGAAAAAAAATCGTGCTTTACTTATTCATTTTAATGATAATATTCATTGGTTAACTCAATTTAATTATAATCAAGAACGATATTTAAAACATCAAATGAAAATGAATTCGAAAAATCAACGAGTTAAACAATTATTACAAATATTAGATATATCTGATAATGATCAAGAAGTTTCCATTGGTATTGAGTATATCAATGATAAATCATGTCAGTGAGTTATAAATTTGAGAATGTAATTTGTATGATTAATTTAATTATTTCAATTCATAGAAATCGAAACATGTTTTTTTTTTCGATACTAAAAGATTTTCTCATTATTATTTTATTATATACTAAACTAAGCATGAAAATGAAAAATAACTAAATAATCGAACCAAAAAAAAGTACATCGAAAAATACCTTTTTGTTTTACATTCATTTTAAACAAAAAAAAAAAGAACAGCCGTAATAATAAAACTAATTCTCATGAAATATAATCAATAAAAACTTTTGTTCTAGTTCTTATGAAATGTTTTTCTCATTATAATTTAATATAGTTGTATTAGGAGTAATTATTAGAGTATTTTTATCATTTTCAATTGTTGATTGTAAAATATTTGTTGGTTGATAATTAATTAAAGTATTAATACATCTATGACAAAGATTAAATTCTAATAGTGAAAGATTTTCATAACATATTGTACAAAGTGGAATAAAATCTTTATTTTTAAATATAAAATCAATAAGATTAGCTGGTAATATAGACATTCGTGTCCAACGTTGATTTGCATCTTTGACACGTTGACGTAATTCTTGATTTTTGATTTTTGAAAAATATGGTCGTGATGCTTTGATCATAACATCGTGTTTTGAACAATGTTTGTTTGTTATATCGATATCTCGAAATGTAATTGTTGATATTCTTGAATTGTTTAATGATGAAAATTTTTGTTGTTTTTCAATAATTAATTTTCTTTTTGATGAACAACAAGTACATGTAAATAGATAACGAAATAAATTTATATAACGATAATGTTTTGGTTGTTCATTTCGTATTTGTGTACATGTTGAACATGAACAATAATATGATTTTGTTCTGGACATTCATGATCGAACAAAATAGAGATTTTTTTAAAATGAAAGTTTTTTTTTTTGTGTATATTCCTTTTGTTACTACGATCGTAGTGACATTGAAATGTAAATGAGACAAAAAAAAAAAAAAAGACGAATTAATCTTTTTTCCTTGAATAATTAATATAGGTTGCTTTGTAAATAAAAGAAAATGAGAATAATGTATAAGATTAAATAAACAGAAAATAATTATACTTTAATTTTAAAGAGATAAAATTATTTTCTTTTTAAATGATTATTTGAAGTGAAAATAAATTTAAAAAGATTAATCATCAAGTTCTTTATATATATATATTTATATGATGATACAATTTTCAAGGATAACCTTGATATCATAGAACAATGATAGGCGTGTATAGACAATTTACATCATATGAAAAAAGATATTGAACTCAGTATGTCTTTTTTTCTTCTTGTCAATATTGAATCAAATAATAAAAAGAAAACAAAATGAAAATATTTTTTTAAATAATAATAATAAAATTCTATTTTTAGATGCCTCGTTCAATATTCATTAATCTGATTCTTTATGCATTTTTTGCATTGATTACTCTGTATCTATTTATATACATTCATAAAGAAGTTCCAGAACCTTATATGGATGAATATTTTCATTTTCATCAAGCAGCTAATTATTGTTCAGGAAATTATAAACATGTAAATATCATTGATTGTTTATTTTAAAAGAAAACAACAAGAGAGATTTTTTTTTTCTACTTATATTTAAGTGGGATCCAAGTATAACGACACCACCTGGTTTATATATAATGACGCATTTATTTGAAATGATATTAAATAGTCTTCAAATATTAGATAAAACATTTGGTCAATGTTCATTAGGATTAGCTCGATTTACAAATGTTATTTTTATGTTAGCATTACCATTTATTTTTATGAAATATCTTGAAAAAATAAAAAAAGAAGATAAACAAGTAAGTAAAAAATAAAGAAATCTTTTGTTTTTGTAAGAAAATATACAACAAGAAAGATGATCCTATCAACTAATGGGAAATCTCTTTTTTTTTTCTTTGATCGATCGAAATGATTGGTAAAGAAATTATACATTTGTTTATTCTTATCTTCCAATTATTATAAATCATCGATCTTAAATATTCATATGAATCTTTTTTATTGAAACGAAATATTTCTATGATAGTATAATTTATTTTTTGAAATTTTATTTCTAATTGGACTTATCATTAAATTTCATGTTTTAGACTTCATTTGAAAAGTCTGAGAATATTAATCTATAGAGAAAAATCTTTAATTGTTAGAAGCAGTTTGACATCATGTTTTGATTATAATTGGATTTGTCTGACATCAAAAGAAGTCTGAAACAAAACTCTAACATGATAAATTTTGCTAGACTGAAATATTATTCTTTTTATGATTTTGTTTTTTTTTTTGTCAATATCCAAAAGACTTATTTCTAGTTAATATAATGAGTCAAATGATATTCAATAGTTTAGAATATTCTATCATTACTAAAAATTACGATCTCAATTTTAATCATACAAATTTATTGACAATTTAAAAAGACTAATATTTTATCTTGTACTATTATAACATATGAGATATGTCTGTTTAAACTTATGATTATACAAATTAATTTAATTGTAGACTTCCATGCTTTCCGCAATATGTATAAGTTGTCATCCATTAATTTATTTTTTTACTTTTCTTTATTATACTGATGTTGGTTCATTATTTTTTGCTATGGTATCTTTGACAACGCATGTTTATCATTATCATCTTTGGTCAGCAATGTTTTCTATTATTGCATTAACATTTCGTCAAACAAATATAATAATTGTTGCTTATGAAATTGGTTTAACTATAATTGAAGAATTTCGTTTAAAAAATAAACAAAGTCATATATTACATGTTTATACATCTCGTTCAAGTGATACAATTAATATAAAAGAATATATAACAGTTCTATGGAAATATAGTCGATTAGAAATTAAATTTATTTTAAATCTTATTCAATCTATTATTTGGAAATGTCGATATCATCTATGTGTAATTATATTATTTTTAATATTTTTTATTAAAAATAATTATTCAATGACACTTGGTCATCAAGAACATCATCAAATTGTATTACATTTAGCTCAAATGCATTATTATGCTGTATATACTTCATTTTTTGTTAGTGCACATCTAGTAAGTAAGTTTTTTATTCTTAAAAGTATAATTATATGTAAGTACAAAAAAAAAAAGAAAGTCAAATTAATAGTAGACGATACTTATTAGTTAATTACTAGGAATGAAGAGAACTCTTATCATAATTATAATGATATACTACTATTTTTGTAGAAAAAGAAAAAAAAAAACCAGAAATGCAATAATGTCTACTTTTGATAATTATGATGTTCATATTAAATATAAATTATTTATATCTAAATTGAATATCTTACTGATGATAATTATTTGATAAAAAAGATGTTTTTAAATTAAATTGAAATTTAGATTACTTTTAGTCTAGTTCACATTAAGGACATAAGAATCATTAATATAATGTAATTCTAATTAATAAAAATAAGTCAATGCAGTTTTTTGTACTTAAAAAATTTTTTGCATTTGAAAGAGACCTGGAATAAATGAAAAAGAACGCATGATTATCTGAATAGCATCAATCTTTCATAATAATAAATATACAACGTGTTATTTCCTGAGTATTCTCTCAAGAAATTGAATTCCAAATAATAAATTTTATTCATGCTAGAATTCAAGACGACTGTAATCTTAAGAACTCGACAACAGTAACAAATAGTGATTTTTAGTTTTCAGCAATCGAAAGAGGAAAACTCATCATCTTCTCAAAATATTCAGAAAATGCATGAAAACTATGTTTCATTTTCAAGAAAATTTTGATTAAAAGTCAGAATATTTACTAAAAATGAACAGAATTCTATATAATTTGATTCGATAGAAGTCCTTCTATCTGAAGATTATGTTAAAATGGAACATCATTTGTTTTTTTTGAATTTTTTGCAGAGATGATGAATTTTATTTTACGTAATATCAAAGAAAAGAACGTTCGCTGTTCTCCCCTTTGAATTGCTGCAAAAACGCACTCTACTGTTATCAAACTTAATGCCTACCGCTCTTTAATTCTGATGCGCATATTAGTTTGACTTATATCTTAATTTGGTGACTTACTTTTTCATCCGTAGGAATAATTAAAAATTCACGAGAACTTTCAGATCATCTGAAATGAATCAATGTATTTGTTTTCAACTTGATTCTTGTGTTTCATTGAAATCTCACATATCTAAATACAAATTAAGCTTTTAATAAAAAACAAAAAAAAAAAAAAATCAAATCATCTACTATTTTTCATTGAATGAAATTATCTTGTTTTTATTCTTTTTTTTTTGTTTTAGTTAACAAAAACAAATCTTCTTCGTCTACTTCGATTTATTCGTTCACATTCAATTATTTGTATTCTATTATTATTATTAATAAATGCAAGTATAAAATATTTTACATATGAACATTTATTTCTTATATCTGATAATCGTCATTATACATTTTATATATGGTCACGTTTATTTAAACGTTATACTTTATTTCGTTATTTATTAACTCCAATATATAGTATTTGCATAATATTACTTTATTTTCAAATATATGATCGATCATTATTAAATATACTTCTTTTATTAATATCTATAATATTATTAACTATTTTTCAAAAATTATTAGAATTTCGTTATTTTATATTACCATTTATAATTCTTCGTTTATCAATTAATGATAAAAAAACATGGGGATTAGTTTTTGAATTTATTCAAGCAATAATTATTAATATTATAACATTATATGTATTCTGTCATCGAACATTTTTTTGGTCAACACATCCAAATATTATACAAAGATTTATGTATTAATGAAGTTTGACATTGAGATGACATGAAAACTTTTTTTCTTTGTATTTTTGTTATGCTATTGCTTTCATTCGTTTTTTTTTTTTCTTTTTGCTTTATCATCATTAAAAGTAAACAGAATTGTTATTGAGAATTGTTGTAGAGAGAAAAAAAAGACTCTTTGACATAAATTTTTCTTTTTGCTATAAATAATTTTTGACGAGAGTAAATATTTGGTCACGGTTGACACAATTGAAAAGACAAACAGAAAGAAAAATAAAAACCTAGAGAAACTAAATTTTATGATTACGTCTTTGTAGGTGTTCCATTATTCTCTTTATTTTTTCTTCTTCATTCACAATTAATGTATGTACATTACTGCGAAGTTTTTCTTTTCTTAGTTATTGCTCCATGTCTTAGCAAGAAATAAAAAATCTCTGAAGAAATGACTTTATTTGCGTTTATAAAAAAAAACAAAAACTTTTTTTGAGAATAAGCTAGTTTGAAGAAGAGAACACCTACATACAATAGTTTTTTTTCTTTCTCAGAAAAGAATTTGTTTTTTTATCTTATGCGTGTCATAAGCATGCATTTTAACGTATCTTTACGTGCTATTATGGATCTATGTCTATGAATTATGTACGTGCACATGCATCTATACTTATCAAGGGAGCAGAATAAGTACTTGATCATATTATCGAAGATTATTTTTAAATTTGTTATTTTAATAAGACACATACAAAATTGTAAAATTCTTTGATATTAATTGAAAAAAAAAAATTTTCTTTTCGGTTCAATGATTTGAAATATCAAGCTCCGGTTATTATTAATTAAAAATATTCAAAGAAAAAGCTCAATTAACAATAAGAATAGATATATTATGCATTTATCGTAAAGTTCATTATGACCGAAAAGAAATTTTAAGTACAAAAATGATGCTTATCACTCTTGCGTTCTCTCGCAATATTCTCTTTGATTATTTTTTTTTAATTTATTATCTATTATATAGAAGTCTAGCTAAATATACCATAGAGAAAAAAAAAAGTTTAGTGTTTATATGAGTACGTTGAGAACGGCAAAAGACAGGACAGAATGAAGAAGAAAAAGGAGAAGAAAAATGTTTGACCTTGTACTATAAATAATGGTGTGCAGCCGTCTAGCGCTGCTTTTGCTCTATGTGTACAGAGCATTTTTCTTTCCTGTGTCTTTCAGCGAAACAGTGTGATCGTATGTGTGTATAATACATAAAAGAGAAAGGAGTAGTAGTGCATTTTTTAAAATGTTTGTTTTGTATGTGTGTTATGTATAGCCTTAGTTTAACAATCTATTATATACACATATGCATATATAAAGACGATTAACATTAACCCATAGAAAGTACATCGATAATAGATAGACATTATATACGTAGGTAGAGATAGATGAGATACTGGTTTTTTTTTGTGAGTTTTTTTTTTCTTTTTTCTATTACGTACTTTGTCGGTAAAGGATAGAAACTAACTAGGCATACACTTATACCTGTATACTAGGTTGTAGGAAATTTTTTGATTGGATGTTATAAATTCATCAGTATGATGACAGATTTTTTTGTTGATTTTGTCTCAAATAATATATTCTATTAAAATCACGTTCTCGTTGACAAATCACAGTTGATTAGAAGTAATCAAATAAAAACTCAGTCATCTAGAAGTTAATTAATAGTGAACAAATATTCATGAAAAAAAAAATTTTTTGACAACCATATTTATATATTTTTAAATTCTTAATATTGTATTTTATCCTTTAACCTACAATATCAATGATTGATAACAATAAAAATGTCCTCAAACATATATATAAAGGCAAATATTATTTTGTACGTGTAACTTTCTCCATTGCCTTCTTTTTTTTTCTTGTTCTATCTACTCATTCTTTTCTTTCATCTGGACACTTATGTACCTCATTTTCAAGTAGAGAACAATTTTGTTTTGTTTTTCACAATGACTCAAGATTGGTTACACATTCCTTTTTCTTTTGTCTTGATAAAATAAAATAAATTCTATCCATTTTTACTTTTTCATTTCATCAAAAGTAGATCTTCTTTGACAATATAATTATAATCCATTTTTATTTGAAATAAATCATGACTTTAATAACAATTTCATTCATAAAGAAAATTCTTTTTTCTTTTCATTTTATTATATTCCAGATAAACGTTAATGAAGATAGTATCTTAAATTTCAATTAGAAAAACAAACGATAATGAACAGTAGTATTGACATACAATCATCAAGGATCGAACTTGATGATGTTGAATCAAAAAGTAGCGATGAATTTCAATATGGAGATAATACTAATCATCAACAATCTGGAACACATGTATCTCGTTCAACTGTTACTAGTACAATCACAACAAATAATGGAACAAGACGTCAGAAAGATATTTCACCATGCTATGTATGTGGAGCAAAAGCACATGGTTACAATTTTGATCAAAGTAATTAAAAATAAAAAATAAATATTTAAATAAATTTCAACTAATTTATTTGTCTATAGTTACATGCGAATCATGCAAAGCATTTTTTCGACGAAATGCTTTAAAGGGTGTGGTAAATATTAAATCATAAAAAAAAAAACATATATATTTTTTCATTCTGATTTCCTACAGCATAAAAAAAAATTTTTTAGGATAAATTTCGATGTCGAAATAATAATAATTGTATTATAACACCAGCAACACGAAAACGTTGTAAACGATGTCGATTAACAAAATGTTTTACAGTTGGTAAGTACTTTATAATTATATATTTTACTAAATACAATTTAAAAAGTATTCCATTAAAGTATAGACCAAGATTTTTTTGTATCCTTGATCACAGGCATGATAGATCAATGATCCATTAGAGATCGTGATTGACATACTTTCGAAATGAAAATCTACTATGAGATTAGTATCAAAAACATGAATGAGTTTAAAATACTTGTCATTAGTTTATCTTGCATGATCATTGCAATATATTAGAATTAATATGATTTCATTATCGACATGCATTAATAATCGGTAGTAATTCATAAATAGAAACATATGTTGATGACTTCCTTGATTTTACAATTTAAATAATATCATCATGTTTTACATTCTAATCCGACAAGAATTTTGCTAATAGTCTTATTAAAAGGAAAAAGAAAGTAGGACATAAACTAATTTATTTTTCTTTTGTTTTTAAATATAGGTATGCGTAAAGATTGGATATTAACAGAAGAAGAAAAACGTTCAAAAAGAAAAAAAATTGAACGTAATCGATTAATAAAACAACAAGCACAATTAACTCTTTATCAACGACAACAACAACAAAATAATGATTTAACTCATTTAAATGTTCAAACAAATATATCTTCATCATCTACTATAGAAGTATGTTTATGACAAAAGAAAAATAAGACAAAATTTTGTTATATATATATATATATTCGTCAAGAGAAAAGCTTAAAGAAATTTTTTTGGAAAAAACAAAAATGAATGATTTCAATTCTAATATTTTTTTAGAATTATTTTATCAGTTTCAGAAAAGGGAACGAAAGTTTGTGTAAAAAAAAAATGAGTCAATAATTCATTTTACTTTATATACATTTCTGCGTATTAATAATCTTCAGGTCACAGGTACGCATTTATATAATAACCTTTGGATAATAGACATAAGATACTTTCCTATATTTTTTCTCTTACTGACAGGTATTTGTTGTCGTGCTTTATCTGATTCACGTGATACACAATCATTTGTGTTTGAAATATAAGAATGAAAATAATAAAGGAAGGCATGAGACACAAGGCTCTAAATAGATCAAGGCTATTTATCATTGTCAAGGAAAAGTTAGACTAGTATAAATTTGATTTCTTTTAGATTTCTCGTTGTTTAATTTGATTTTAGACTTTTTTTTTGTTTTTATTAGATTACAGATTATGATCGTTTATAAAAGGATTTTTTCTTGAACTTTTAATTATAAATCTATGTTTAGAGACTTGAAAGTTGTTTAAAAATTTCTTTTAAGGTTATGTTATTCTAGAAAAATTTTAATATTAATTTTTTTTGAAGCTACTCTAAAGCATGATTTTCTACTTAATTAATTTATTCTTCGTAAAAAAAAACCGGAAATTTGCTGCTTTTTGTACCCTATTAGAATATTTATCTGTAATATAATCAATATAAGCGAAATCATTGTTTGAAACAGATGTCTAAAAACTTAATAAAAAAAAAACAACATATCTTTAAATTATTGAACAGAATTTACACTATTGAATTTTCTTTAAAATCTTTTCTACTTATTTACTAGAAAAGAAAACTTTTATATTCATCATGCGTAGATGCAACTCATCTCAAAAGAAAGCCTCTCCAGATATCCTATTCCAGTTTCAATTTTTTTTTTGTTTGTAAATACTAAATAGTATTCTAATGAAAATTCTACAAGGATTTGAATTTCTCTTGAGATTTATTGAATTTTTAATGTGCCTATTTGCTACCGATCTCTGCACTAGTCAAGGTTTTCGAAAAAATCATGTTGTTAAATTTCACCTTGAAACTAACATCATTTCAAGGTGAAACTCAAAAACATGATTTTTCGGACAACCTTGGCTCGTACAAAGGCCAGTGGCAAATAGACACATTAAAAATTCAATAAGTCTCCATAGGAACTCAAATCCTTCTAGGGTTTTCACTAGAATAATATATAGTATCTATAGGCAAAAAAAAACATCATTGAAACCGGAAAAGGGAAATCTATCTTTTCGATTGTTAAAGTTTGTTTATTTCATTATTTCTATTCTTATAGCCTATATCACGGTAATAGATTGTGATCATGATTGACACTAGTCCCGATGACTTTGTTAGATCCCGTTACTAATACAAATCGCATACTTATTGAATACTAATCAGTCGGATTCTGTCTAACCAATTCTTACCAATTTTACCGACTTTATAATTTTCTTTTTAATAATTCCAAACTACTATTGATTTTCCTCATTTACGATCTTTTTCAGAAATTAAATT